CCAGTGAAGCAACGTCCTCCACAACTAGACTGAAGAACAAAAACGACAGCAACTTGTCTGTTCCCCTTCCCCCAATTCTCCAGCACTGTTCCCATCCCCCAATTCCCCAATAAAAATCTTTAAAAAAAACAACAAAAAACCTCACACATTTGGGAGAAGTTGGAGGTGGAAAATAGTCACAGTTAGGGGAAGAATGCTCTCATCAAGAGGCTTCTTTGTTTTTAAACAAACACAGCCTATCACTTCAAGTTTGTAAGACATACACAGATAACGACAAAAGCCATCAGGCAATAGTCCTGCTGAACACAGTTAACAGTATGCAACAAGAATATTAAGCATCTCCTTACAACTTTATTTGTATTATCAATTCACTTAGGCGTTCCTTTGCTCTTTTAAAATACAAGAACATATCCAAACCACGTCAAACAATCATCTATTGTTAATACTATTATCTGTTGGTAATGATCATCTGTTATCAATTTACTGGGACTGTAATTAAAAAGACTTGACTCTGTAAAAATAAACGATTTTAACAACTGACTTATAAGAGTGGGTGTGTAATTATTGGGTTGTCGGAAAAGTCATGACGTATTTTTTCTATGTTTTTCATTGCAAAAATGCGTCATGACTTTTCCAACAATGCAATAGAAATATCTAGCATATCTTTCTAACTGGGCATTTTTCTAACTCACAAAGAAGAGGTCAAATAATTTCCATATATGAGCCCTCAACTGGCATTGCGCTAACATCTCTGAAGGAAGAAAAAGCTCAAGTAACAAAAAAGACTATAGAGCATTTCCCAACATAGAAGGGCTAAATCCCTAAACACTATGAAAGAAGGCAAGATTCTAGTTAGTTAGAAGTCATAGTGACTTGCAAACCATGGCCATGGGGTTGAATCATTTGAAATAAGTTGAGTCTTAAACTTCCCTTAAGTTTGTTATGACGGGCTCTCAAGTGAATCAGGTACCGATCTAAACTCATATGAAATACTCAAAAAGCCAAGATCATGTCAACATAGTTTCTGCCATGGTCAGAAGAAACGTATTAGTCCACAAATGTACAAACTCAGTTATTAGGAAATGCCTTGAGAGGTGGTAAGCTCCTCCTCTCTTGAGGTGTTGAAGGACAGCACAGCCAACCACTCACTGGAGATCTTAAGACGTCAGAAGAACAAGACGGATGGGTTGAGTGGTTGATCTTTAATATTTACTTCAAATCTGAGATACTAGGATTTCTATGAGGTTTGAAAGATGCATTAATCCCTCACTGATGTCAAAGTAATTTTAGGTTCATTTCCTTTCTCAGATTTTGAAACACAGTACCTGTTAAGAAACATGTTTTTTCTAAGTGTAAAGGCAGGAATGCTTCTATACTTACTCACTCATCCTGGAGATTCACCTACCTTCTTCATCAGAGCTAAAATGATTTTAGCCAATTAATATTTTATGAAAAGCACTTATCTCCAAAAAAAGGTTTCTGTTGCTGTTTTCCCCAATTCAATTTTCTTGTTATTTGGATTTAATTTCCATAAAAGCCTTGTGTTATTTTCCACTTTAGGTAACTTACACTAATTTTTTTATTCTTATTATACAAGCCCTCCCCAGAAATTCATATCTGGCTATGTCAGCTATGCAGACCACAGCCTTGCTATTACAGGCAGATCTCAGAGATACTGAGAGTTCTATTCCAGACCATTGCTATAAAGTGAATATCGCAATAAAGTGAGTCACAGGAATTTTCTTGGTTTCCCAAAGCATATAAAAATTATTTTTACACTACACTGTAGTCTATTAAGTGTGCAATAGCATTATGTCTACAAAAATGTACATACCTTAATGAAAAATACTTTATTAAGAAATGCTAATGAGCATCTAAGCCTTCAGTGAGTCAATCTTTTTGCTGGTGGCAGGTCTTGTAAAAAACACAATATCTGGGAAGCACAATGAAGCAAAACGCAATAAAGCGAGGTATGCCTGTACTTCATGGAAGACTTCTTTCCTCAAGGAGTCTAAAAGTGTTACACCCTGAGAAGCATAAAAATCTCCAATGCCCTGCAGAAGCTCCCAGTACTGCAAGAAAAATTTAAATGTGCTTTTTCTTGCTGGATAACTTCTAAGATTACCTTTTTCCTTGCTTGTTGATCTTTGGAAGAATGTGCCTTCACATGCTTTCTTAGGGAGCTTGGGTCTGTGTAGCGTTTGGTGCATCCTGGAATTTGACAAGCATAAGGTTTCTAAATAAGAAAGAAAGAGAGAAACAGCTGTGGTTAAATCATAAAGGTAACTGGGGAAGTTACTCAAAGACTATTGACTTCAGAGCATGAACTGTTAGCAACCGACTGATGTGAAATGCTGGGTAATACTTGGGTATTTTATTTAGAAAGCCAGAAAGTTTGCATCAAGGCAAAAAGGAAAGGAAGCTTTCAATAAACAAAGAGATGGCCTATCTTTGATGATTTTTAAGAAACTGCTACAGAGTGCACTCTTACCAGGAATCCTCTTGTGGTATTTTTTAATCTAGAAATGATTAGTATGCATCTCCAGTCATACTTACAGTTATGTTCCCCTGAAAACAATCTTTGGTACTGTCAGAAACTAGGAAACACATATTCTGTAAGAGTTCAGGTATAAAGAAGCTGCAGAAAAGTCCAGAAAAGACTGGGAATGTTTCAGAAGAAACCTGATTCAGAAAGAGAGAGGGAGAGAATTAAAAGGGAAAATTAGTAGAAAGTGAATAGGAGACGGTAGGTTTCAAACAACAGACACATAAAAAATCAGCCAGAGAGACATTAATGTCATTATTGTAAAGGAGTCCTGGTGCTAAGCCTGGGTTACGTAAATAAGCCGTTGGCTGAGAGTGATGAGAATATCAGTTTTAGCTACTCCATTTCCCCATGCTCCTGAGATGTGATATGTGGAGCCTAAGGCTGAGTCTAGTATCTTTTTTTCTTCTTGTATCTCTGTTGATTGGTATATAATAGTTAGGAATGAATGCACTATACTTCAATTCAAATTTTAGCACCTATTCCTACTGTAATAACAAAAATCACAGCAAGAGTTTGAGAGTATGACTTTTAAGTTGTAAATTAAATAAAAAACTTCTGTTCATTCTAAGTATTAAAAAAAAGTTTGTAAGACGTAGTAACAGTCACTCATCTAACCTAGTATCTCATCAGATATTACACCTGTGCCTACACGAAACGAAATGTAAGAAGAGAACTGAAACCTTGCCTCCAAATAGGATTTTTACTTTAGAAACTTGCTATCCTATTGACAAAAATCAAACAAACCCCAAAACAGATTTTTTTAAAAAAAATATTTTGTTCCTGTTTTCATATGTATTCTTGTCATTTTGCTGGCCAACATCTACGTGGATTATATTATTTGCCCTGTTGGAAGTCATTTTTATGATTCACTTTTTCTCTGCCATTTTTGATTCCGAGAACAAGATAAAATCATGAATAGATAATTTAGTTTGACACTCCCAATTCAAATGCTAAGTTTGATTACCTGATGTGTTTGTTCACTGAGTGGCTGACTGATGGACTAAATCACCCAACAGCTCTTATGCTTCCATGATGTTGTGACCAACGTAAGCTCATGTTTTGAATATTAGAGGAGATGTTGCAAGTAAAAATAATAATAATAAAAAAAAATCTTTGGGAATATTAACATGTTATATACATCCAAGCCATTGCTATTACCACGGTCACTATTATTTGGGTTGGAAAGATAAGAAATGAGTAATGCCATTCTGTGTTTGATTTTGAGATGTTCTTAAAGAAAGCTTGGATACTCACCATTCTTTCCAGCTGGACTTGACTCTCTCCTTGCTGTCAGCCACCTCATCAGTGTGCCAAAACAGCAATGTAAGGGGCCGGTCTGGGTTGTGCTGGTGTAAGGTCATTTTCTCTCAGATTACCTAAGCTTTAAATGGCGTGCTACACTTCACCAAACTATATTTTTCAGTATTTTCTATCTGTATGGTAAAAGTATTTCCCCTGTTCGAATATCGAGACGCTAATAGACAAATGGAATTAATAAAACTGTTCAGGGTTAGAATTATGAACTCAGCAATCTTGAAGGGAAACCATTTTTCTGTAAGTAAAGAATCCATTTAGTTGAAGAAAGATGCTTTATCCAAAATTCTGAGGGATTTTAGCATAAGAGTACTTAACAAAAGGGAAGGGGCTTCTAAATTTAAGTAATAAATTCTTTAAGCAACAACAGTTTGCTTTGTAAAACAAATGTTTAATTTCTGTATGATTTTAAAAGTGTTTACCAATTTGCTAAATGCAGTAACAATTTAAATGGGAGGTAGTTTGGAACTTAAAGGAGAAATGATGGTTTTAAAAGATTTACTAAAGAAATTATTTTTTAAAATAAAAATAGCTGAGTTTTAAAAGCTACTGCATTGAACTGAATCATAAAATTATTATCTTAGGTAACTTTCCTCAAAAGTTTTAAAAAGGAATATTTTTTAAAATTCCAAAATGATTTTAGAAAATGCTCTTAGTTTGATAAGCTAAAATTAGCTCAAGCAAAGAAGGATTTTGTAGAATCATAACACTTAGCCTCACAATAGTTCTTTCAAACTATAGATAACTAGCTAGAGTAGAAGCAATTTCTCAAGACAATCTTGTCTCATGAATGTTCATTCTTCCATGATAAAGTTTAATGACAAATTGAAAAATTTATTGGATTCTACCAAGACCATTTTAGACATACAAAGCAGGGCATTTTAACATAATTTATTCTTTTTCCTACTTCTACCTTTAAAAAATACTGCTATTCACCAAATTTATTCATTTAATATTCTATTCTGTTGGTCCTAAAATCACTGAATTCAATTCAGCTAGAGCAGAAAGGGGCCATATTACTCTAATTATATTTCAGGTATTTACTAGGCAGGCACACCATCACATTTATGTATATTAGGAGATAATTTTGTTTAGAAGGGTTACATGACATATAGCTAAAATGACTTCTATCAATATGACTAATAGAGACTACTATAAAAGTTAATAAATATGTCAACTATAACATCAGAAGAATCTTAAATATGTATGAGGTGTGTAGAAATAACAGTATCTTTTCAAAATTCAAATTCTGGTGTAGTTTAATAATAGACATCAGAATGTTAACTCTGAAAAAGTACTGTCATGAATACATTATTTGCAAGAATGTGGATTAAGAGATCTGTGATGTGTGCAATACATTTATCCTAAGGTCTTTGTTAAGTGAAGTGAAATTACATATAGTCTACCTGGCCTCATGTAAGAAAATGGCATCAAAACCTGAGAAATATAAGAGGTTGATCAACATAGCTGAGAAAGGAAGAGTCCTAAAAAAGGTATTTGCAAATGAGCAAAGCATTGCAGCAGTAAGAGGGTTAAGGTGTAATAATGAAAATCAATTGTTCTTATAGGATTTATGTCCATGGATACGTGGCTGTTAACACACAGAAAACGTGATGCAAGTGAACCCTTGGGAAAGAGTTGCCGATTCATTTTAGATCACTCAAAGGTGAAAATACCAGGTGGTTTTTAAAGCAAAAGTCCAGGTTCACTGTCAAAAACCATGCCGGCCTCAAACTTATTGTGTCAAGAAGAAAAGAACCAGAGTTAGAAAAAAAAAAAAAGTGCTCCTTCTCTCTAGTAATAGTATATATTGTGTATCTTAGTACATCTTGATATTTGAATACTTATTTTAATGCCCAACCTGTAGTGGTCATTCTCTGTACTAAAATCTACTGTATGACAGCCTCTAGACTGCCTTTGCTTTGTACACAGAGGTAACCAAAGAACCCCTTTGTCCCAGGCAGCTGTAAATATTCAGGATACTTGTGACTGGAGAAAAGTGAGGGAAGACCTAAACAGAGCCCCTCTGGCCCTTTACCAGGTTCCACTGCTGCCCTTGGAATTGCCACTGTAGCCTAGACCACAAAGCAACACCTTCAACATCCCACTATCAAAGAGGCACTTCCTCATGCCGGGGCTTCGCGCTGGAAGTTGGAAATCTCCTGCCATTCTTACAGTGTCCAGATGTGTCCTCTGGTGCTTGGCGCGGTCACTGGAGTTGCTGAACGCCTTCTGACAGCCCGGATGCTGGCACAAATATGGCTTCTCGCCGGTGTGACTCCGCAAATGAATCTTGAGATTTTCGAGCCTTGAAAAGGCCTTCTTGCAACCTTCAAACTGCAAAAAGAAAACAATTTGGGGTTGTTGAGAAAGACCTTGAATGCTTGAGTCTGAGGGACAGAAAAAAAAAAATGTCCTTAGTTTGTACTCAGCCTAAAACAAAAAAAAAATAAAATGAAATCCGAAGAGTAACAATATTACTTCTAAAAATATCTATATGTTTATGTCAACTGCATTTTTCCACTGAATATACATACCACTTTCTGTACCAGATTTGGGTCCCAAACTGATTTCTGTGATTACTTATGTCAGAGAAAATTCACTGTGAGCCATCTGGCTCCGTTAATAAAAATACAGTAATGCGTGTCTTAAAGATTTATTAAAAAATTAACACACTTTTCCATTTCCAAATTGGTCTAAATTGAAGGAACCAGGAAGGAAGAAACTTTTTACAACTAATAAACTAACAAGAAAAATCCGAGTGATGTATGAGAAAAAGGGTGAATTGAAGATACAAGAGTTCAAGATGTAAAAGGCGTGCGTCTGCTGAATTGTTACGATCATCAAGTTCCTTCATTATATTTTAAGGGGTTTATGTACTTCCAATAGATTAATCTTGTTGCCAAACCTAATGAGATAAAGTTTTCAAATATGCTTTCAAGAAGGTATTGAAAGACAATTCATTTAATACTAAATCATTTTCCAAATACAGTGATGGTTTTATTTTTATTTTTTTAAAGAAATTTTGTTGCCTACTTCAATAAGAGAGGAATTGAAAATGAAAGACTGAAGATTTTAAGAAATGCTTCACTGGTTTACCAATAATATTTATTGATGGTAATAGTTACTTAATGCCTTCTGTGGGCAAAGTATCAGCTACTGTTTATTAGCTGATCAAACTAATTCCAATCCTTGAAATGCCAATCTAATAAAGAAAATGTGTTACAGAGAGCCTGTAAATGAAGCTTAAAGGTGAGACAGGCATTTATCCTTTAACTCTTTCATTGCTGCTAAGCCCCAAAATATTTGTCACTTTGACAGTTTTAATCCGTTTGAGTTCCCCCTGTAAGATCATTATAAATATGGACAAACTAACCAGAACAAAACATAATACGTTTAAAGCAATTAAGAAAGCTTAGAGGGCTGACCGAGGGGGCGCATTGGTTAAGAGTTGGCTTGGGACGCCAGCTCTGAGCAGCAGGGCCCTGGTTCAGAGCCCACATGAGGGCCATTGATGCTGCACTCTACAGCTAAGATGGTGAACAACAGCTCAACCTGGAGCTGGGCTGCTGTGAATTGCCGGCAGCAGCGTAGGCTGCAGTGAGGCTGGCCGGCAGCGGGCGTGAGCTTCCGTGAGCCACCATGAGCGGCCGTCCAATGCCAGCGAGTGACTGCCTCCCCTGGGAAGAGCATGATAATACCAACATGGGCCAGTGAAGCGACGTCCTCCACAACTAGACTGAAGAAAAAAAGGACAGCAACTTGTCTGTTCCCCTTCCCCAATTCCCTAACGCTGTTCCCCTCCCCCAGTTCCTCAATAAAATCTTTGGGAAAAAAAAATCTTAGAGAGGAATGTGTGTGTGTGTGTGTGTGTGTGTGTGTGTGCGCGTGCGCGCAGGGGGGAGGATGGATACAACAGAATATAAATAAAGAAGGTAAATTCAAGATGGCTTCCATTCAAAATTAGTGGGTATAATTTAATCTTACTACAAGTAATTTCATAAAACTCTCTGGTTCTCTTGCTTAGTTCAATAGATGATGGAGTGCATTGTTCATGAAAGGATGATCCAGAGGTGGCTAGGTTTTGCTTATTTGAATTTTCATTTTTAAGTAAAGGATGAACTAAGGAGAAAGAATAATCAAGTATATCCTATCTCTATTTAGGTTGTCCAGATTTTGCATGCTCGGTTATTTTAAGAAATTTTAGAAAGTTGCACTTATTTTGATTGAGAGTTATACACGTTTCACTGACATATGTTGGTTTATTTCAATTTTGATATTTTGCTTAAAATAATTTTGGTGTTTTCCTGATTTCTATTTCACATACAAATAAATTTAGCCGGAACAGAAGATGATTGCTGACGAAGCCAACTACTTTTTCAACAGAGTGAAAGATACAATGCTATGTCACTAGAGGGAGAGAGGAATTATGGGGCTTATTTCCAGAAACAGGTTTGCAAGTGGGTCTTAAATTGGAAAACAAAGGGGCTCAAAGTTAACCCCCAATTCACAGTGAAGAGGCCTCTGCTGACCAAATCTCTGTTTTTAAGATTCTCTTTGAATGACGACTCAGAGCAAACTCCTGGAGCTCAGTTTATTTTATTTGGAATCACTTGGTGGACCACACTTAGGTCTAAAATGAGCTTGTGGTTTTGGACACATCAAGCCTGTAGCCTAGTTCCTAGCAAGGCTCTTTTGTAGGGTGGACACCCTGTTGGGGCCAGCTCCAGGGGTGCATACCCAAACCTGGGTAGGCCCCAGCATCCACTTCCTTCTACAGTCCCCAGATCTTGGTAAGAGAGAAGGGTGCATTGTTTCAGCACCAACTGGAAGTGGAAAACCACTTGAGAATATACTTATGAGGTTCCTGTGAGTACCGGACACAGAAGACCCCTGGATCTACCATAGTGTGAATAGAAGGATCCCAGACATGTGCTAGAACTAATTCAAACTGTCCACTGGATCAGACACAAACTAGACGTACACTAGTGTTTCCAAGGTCTCTCCAGTTAAATGTCCAAGTAAATGTGCAGTAAAATGTCCAATTAAAAGTCAACTAGCTGCTATTATTGCTGTTAGCAGAAGCAAGGATCAAAGACCAAAGGGCTTGCTACATTCCAAATGAATCAGTGAAAAGTGAATTACATCTCAGAACATCCTGACCATATTTCCATAGCAAAGATGGAGGAAAATGTGAGCACCCAGACTGTAGAGGAAAACAAAAAGATTATCTGTAAAATCATGAAAATCCAGCTGATCGCAGATGTTTCCTCTGTAACAAGAAAGGCCAGAAGACAAAAGTATTTGTAGTACTTGTACTAGCACTGTAGTATTTTCAGAAAAAAAAAAAGATTAAGAGTGAAGGGGTTGTATGAACAAATGCAAGAGAAAGGCAATTTCATATACTCAGGAGCTCATAAAATTATATACACCACACACTCACTCTTGTTGAAGAAATTCACATGAAAAAACCAGGAACCCCAAACCAGTAAAAGCAGACACTGATGAACTGACAAACGGTTCAGTGGGGTAACCTCCCATCCAACCTACCAGGTATGTGCAGGGTGACACACCTGACTGAACTTGCCACCCTAACAATTCTGCAGGAGGAAGGAGGTGCTGTTCGTTTCTCTAATGGTGTCTGGATGAAACAAAGCAAACAATTCTGTAATGAATCATTATCATTCATTATGGGAATAACCCTGTAATTCAACACAAGAATTTCCTCTCCCTCAGGCAATTCTACCCTTAGATTTATATGTTCAATTAAATGCAAATGCATTAAAAATAAACTAACAGGTTGAACTACAAAAGATTGTTACAAAATACACCAAAACTGGATGCTTTAGGTATTTGGGCAAACAGATGCCTTTTTTCCGTATTATTATTTTGTTCATGCTTTCCAAATCTTTAATGAGTGAGTCTTACTGTTGTAAATGAACATCTAAACCTAGGGAAGCAGGAATCATTGGAGTGTTTCCTTGGTTTGGCCAAATGTTTTCTCATCGAGGTTCCTAAAGTGCAGGGGCCATCCTGACATCTAAGGTCCCAATTGTCACCTGGACTGCTCTTGCCACTGTCACCAACCAACCCTACATAAAAATGGCCAATATCCTAGTCTCAGGTCCTCTCCTATCTGGACTGGCAATGGAACCAGGGAACTAGGGTCCAGTGTCACACAACTGGATCACCAGGGCTGAGGTGGCCGGGACTTCAAAGACAGACCCAGTCTGGGGAGGATGACAGAAAAACCAACCAACCAACCAACCAACCAACCAACCAACCAACCAACCAACCAAACTCTCAGAATCCAATGGGATAACAGAAGGAGGAGAAATAGAACACAAAAGAGAGACAAACACAGGGTGGTAATGTGGGAGGGCGTGATGGTGGGAAAGGGGTCTCGTATACATTAATAATTTTATTTAAATAGCATTCTATCATTCCTCAACAAATACTGAGTAACCCCTATGAGCATGGCGCTATATGTTAGGCACTGGGAGGCACAAGGTGAATAAAACCATGGGAAGATGGAAGCAAGGTCAGTGCGTATGTCTGAGCAGGTCATATACTGATGAACCTTGAGCAGTGATTCTCAAAGTATTGGTGCCTGGATCAGCAGCATCAGCAGGCCCTGGGAAGGTGTCAGGAATACCAATTCTCTGGCCCCACCCCAGACTCACAGAACAAAACCCTGGGCATAAGGGTTCAACATCTTAGTGTTAACAAGCCCTCCAGGAGATTCTGATGCCACAGTGTGCCTGGGAGTTCAGGAATGCCATTCATATTGTAATCATTGTCAATTTTCTTAAGAAAGTCTCCTAACAGAATTAAAGTCTCTCAAAATTCACCCATTTCTAACTGAGACAAGAGTCACATGGACTAGCAGCAGCCCTGGACTGGAAAGAAACATTTTCATTCCAGGCTAAGATGCGGTTGTCTCCACTCGCACAGCAAATGGGACAAAATCTCAGAATGCCAACCTCGTACTAGAGATTCTTTAAACTCCAGACTATTTAATCTGCTTCCAGGCAGATGTCTGGTTCTGAAATAGGTATGTCTGCAAGTTCCCTCAGTGGACTCCTGACCAAGACAACGTCCCACATTCCTAGTACCCATTACATTCCCTTGTTGAGAAAGAGCACTGGAGGGGAGCCATGCTTTTCCATTTGAACATTTCAGTGGCTTTACAGACACATACAGGAACTAAACATGAAACTGTAAGTCATAGCACTTTATATCTCATGGGTTTTGAAAATACTGCATTGCATGAAGCCTCGCTGAGAAATATCTCTTTAATGCTGAGGCGTTTAAGTAACAAACTTTAATTAAAAAGT